GAAAGGAAGTTTAAGACCCTGTGAGCAAGATGCTGCAAATTGTAAAACAGCCTGCTAAATGGCTACTCACCCAAAACAAGGAACAATTTATGCCAGACATAAAAAATCTGATTGAACTTGCTTTATTACATGTGTACCTCTTGGGCGATGAAAGACTTGTAAAACAATGTTTCTGGGACAATAAACTAGGGGTACCTGTTTGCAATGGTATTGTAAATACAAATGTTTCTATTATTGTGTTGGTGGCCAACAGAGGGACAGATTTGTTTGAAAACAGATTTTGTTTGAAGAGCAAGACTCTGAACATAAGAGTTACTCAGAAAATTCTTCATGAATAAAATTATTCAAATTCTGACCCATATTTACTCCGTAATATATTGGAAATCTTTCCAAAAGACAAAATAATCTGAAAGGTAATAGGTCACATCTTCCTAGTAGATGACATCACATACCCAAGGAATGCCATGTAAGAATAAGAATGAAAAGGGAGTAAAAGTCAAAAGATTATTGTAACTATATTTGGAGAATATAGGGATGATTCCACAGTGGTTCCTGGACCTCCTACCTGCATCACAGTCACCTTGGGAATGTATGAAAACTGGAGATTCTCAAGGGAGGGAGCTAAAGACTGAATTTAACAAGCCTCACAGGTGATCCTAATGCACATCAAAGGTCAGAAATTTTTGGTTTTATAGGGAAGTTTAGTGCTAGTTTTCAAAGGAAAAATTCGAGATTTTCCTCAACTTCTTTCATCGATTCATTCAATAAACATGTACCAGCACTTGTTATAGACAAGGCATCATACTAGGAGCTGCAAAACACCCAGAACAATTTGGGTGGGAAAGCAAAACACTATGTATGATTTAGGAGCCAATGTTCATTTTCCTTTCTACACTGTTTCAGTACCTTGTTCATTTCCTGTTTTATTCTCTTTGAGCTACAGCCTCATGCCCTGCTTGATATTGCTTCAAAAGCACTTAAGGAGTGGATATAAGACAGCAACACAGAAACCAAGCATGAGGAGAGAGAGTGTTGCAGTGGGGGCAAAGTGCAACTGCTGGCTTTCCTTACTCTTAGAAGATAGCAAGGAAACAAACAGCAGGAAGAAAGTCCATCCAGAAAAAAAAATCTGAACCGTCTTGGCTTGTTAATGTGGAATTCTGACATAAGCCTTAGGTACACCTGCAGGTTTCAGGTGATATTATAAAACCCAAACACTACAAAAATATAACACCAGATTCCATGGTGCAAAGATTACGTGCCATATATTTTCCCTTTCCCTTACAGAGACAGTCTTTCCCCTTCTTAACCTTGATTTGGGCTAAGGGGAACCCCCTTGCTCTCTGTTTTTCTGTTAGTTTACCCAAGGTAAATAGATATGAGAGAGAATAAGAAGCCTGAATATAAACTGAACAAGTTAACAACTGCTAGATAATGCCAAAAATAAGGGTCCAAGGAGCATCCTTGGATAACTAGAAAGTGAATAGAGGAAAAGAAAATGGATAGGAAAAGAAGTTCTCAAAATTCACCCAAAATTGGATTCAAAGTAATAGGACTTGATAGCAAAATTAAAACTGATAATAAGATTCAGAATTTACTGGGTAGGAGATTTTTTCCATGCATGTAAATGGATCCTCAAGAAACCACATACAGTGAAACCCCTTTCAAACATCACTGTGAGCTATTTGAACACAGTTTGCGTGGTTTTATCACCTGATGTTACCACCCTCTGTTAGCATTTTCCACACATTTTACATTTAAAGTGGTTAGTTCACAGAAAAGCATAGCACACAAGATTTCCTGTATCTTTCCAGGTATTGTTCTTTGTCTACTCTCAACTGATCGCATAAATTCCAAGGCCCTTGTAGTTTTCTAAATCCCTCAAGGTTCCAAAAACAGAACCTGGCAAAAATGCATGTGTCCCTGAATTTTCAGATGTTTCCTCTTCATCAAAGTGGTCCCTGGTAAAGAGCCACTATTCTGGGTTTCAGGCAACATCAGGATATTTTTCCACCAAAAGCCTGTCAACCATTCCAGGTTGTGCAATTTGTGTGTATACATGTGTAAACAAAATCATATAAGTAACTAATCTGAATCAGAGGTTCCTAGTGAGTCCCAAAGCTGCTGTAGACTAAACGTTTGAACATTAAGTTTTCATCTCACCGGTCTGCCTGTCCATTGGATATTCAGGGCTGACCTAAGACAGTGAGGGTCCCCAGAGTCTTAGCTTTTTGCTATGCTCTGAAAATCAGGCTCACGTTAATCGTTTAACCTGTTCGTAGAATTCCCAGGTATCCAGAGCTAGCCCAGGGGACGTGTAAGGATAAGTCAAGTCATCATTTTTATCAGAATTAGCTTTGAAATAACAGTCCTAAAACAGAAAATGAAGTATATTTCTGCTGCAAAGTTACTCTAATCATTGCACAAGAAGAGGCGTTTTATTTCCTATTAACCATGTAATTTTGAATTCCTTAGCTTTTGTTTTTATTCTGTAGGCTAAGATAATATTTGAGATGGATTCCTCCAAACCCCTCAAAAAAAATTCCAAACTATGCTATGACTGGTAATGCTGGGATATTCATTTTGATTAATGATAATTTACAATCATCACTCAAGGTCACAAGCAATTCGGGACCAATATAGATAAAACTAGCATGTTTTCAGGGGTTACTGTGCATCATGAATTAAATTAAATATGAATTGAAGTTGTTTGTTCAACCAGCCAGTTCATTCTTCGAATCCTACTCATTTGGTCATGTAAATTTATGGGATTAGAGCCAGAAAAATAATAGAACTTTCTCATCTTCTCTACTGTAGCTCTAACATACACTGCTTGCCTCTCTATTTTATTTATATTATTTTAACAAATACACTCAGAGTTCAATTTTAGTTGAAGAATAACAACTAGACCATTCAAGAGGATATTTGCATGAAGCAGTAATAAAGGCATTATCTAAATAGTCATTACTGGTTTTTCAGTGCAGTAAATTCTCCAGTTTGTTTAGTTCTCCCTCCTTAGAGACTTCCTGAACCTTAGTGTCCACTGCAACAGAGGGAATCTTCCTTGGCAGTATTCAGCTCTGTATTCACATACATTTTGGTTCCATGGATAACTAAGTTATGACCAACCAATCACACAAATCTTAACTTTGAATGCTACGTTTGAAACACTTCCAAATATTTTAAGAAGTAGTGAATCATGCAAAGATCTTTTCTTTCCCTCTCTCACCTACAAACTGTTTAAAAGGTGGGGCGCCTGGGTGGCGCAGTCGGTTAAGCGTCCGACTTCAGCCAGGTCACGATCTCGCGGCCTGTGAGTTCGAGCCCCGCATCAGGCTCTGGGCTGATGGCTTGGAGCCTGGAGCCTGTTTCCGATTCTGTGTCTCCCTCTCTCTCTGCCCCTCCCCCGTTCATGCTCTGTCTCTCTCTGTCCCAAAAATAAATAACGTTGAAAAAAAATTCAAACTGTTTATTTTTTTATTTATTTATTTATTTATTTTTAATTTTTTTTTTTTCAAC